TGGGGTAGTGTACCCGGTCGGGCGTAAACTGTTCACCCGAGGCAGAAATCTTTTGCTGGGTTGCCCGGCCGGGTATGGAAGTCTACCCCGTCGGGCGAAAAATTTATTCTTGTTTTGCTCATGCCTCGCCCGGGTGATTGCCCGGGTGTTTTGTTTTTAGAAGTAACCCGACCGGGTTAGGGTTTATACCCGGCCGAGTCCAATCCCAGTCCATTTTTTTTTTGAAATCTGTAAAAACAAAAAAAAAACAAGTAAACGTACCTTGCTTGGGTTGCCTCCCAAGAAGCGCCTTAGTTAACGTCGCGGCACGACGCCATGGTTGTGTTCAATCGTTCAAGCTTGGATCGTGATAACTCATCTTCTTCAAATTTTCACCCGGGTGACTCTTATAGAAAGACTCAGTTTTTCGACCCTTTATTTTGACTTTCCGGGATCAAATATCCAGATTTCTATCGTTTCATATTGTGAGAGTGTTGGTCCATGATTTTCATTAAGCATGGTCAATGGAAGGGGATTTGATCCGGGTGGTATAAGAGGGAGTATGAAATATTTGTGTAATCCCACCGTTATTCCTTGCTTATTTGTGAACAAAGAGAAGTCTAATTTATACTCACAATTGCTGAAAATATCATAGATATCTTTGTCCTTCTCCACCCTTTGTGTTTCCCTTAGAGCCTCAGGAAATGGTGGCATGATCTCAGGAATGGCCGGTGGTTGAATTGAGTTTTGAGGTTCCTCCTCCGGTTGAGCTTTCTCCGTAAGCTCCTCTTCTTCCTCCTCCTCGCCCATGTGGTTCACAATGCTTGGCATTTGTTTCAACTGATTGTCCAAGTTCTGTTCGTTGGACACTGCTTCTTGCGAGCATTGTGACATATTTTGTTGCATATTTGTCACATTGATAGTGAGAGCTCGGATCATGTCTTCAGTGGACATGCTGGAATAAGAACATGAGTATGGGCTATATGTGTTGGAGAATGAATCATACCTCTCTTGGAAACCAACACCATTCCTTTGTTCAAAGAATTCTTCTCGAAGCTCTGGGCAAAAATCCGTAAGATGCCTTTGTGACATGCAAATGTTGCATGTATGTATATCTTGAGATTTTGAAAATGAGATAAACTCCTTTATTAGAAAAGTCAAGTCGGAAATTTGACTCTCTAGGGATGATGTGTTGGTATCCTTTTACTCATGCAAGCTCAGAAAATAGAAAAGTAAGATTTTTCTTTATAATTTTTTTTTAAATTTTTTTTATGAGATAAAATAAAAAGAAAAATAATTGCCTTTCCCCGGCAACGGCGCCAAATTTGACGAGCACTTTGTCACGGTGCGTCAAAATAAATTCAATACTAAACACTTATACGTAGTATAGCGTAGTAGAGTTCGTATCCACAGGGAAAGGAATAATTCTCTTTTTATGATACTTAGTAAATAAAAAGGGGGGATTTGGATTGAGTGATTTAATTTAATTAAGAACTAAGATGAACAACCTATATGTGTGTAATTCAAAGATAAGAAGGACTTGGCATTGCTACTTTCCACTTGTTGATATATTTTAGTCGATCATTGTTATATCTATAACTTATTTCCTCTCGAATACTCAATCGGGGAGCATATCCACTTCATCGAGGGTAGTTATTAACAACAACCGTTCATTAATAACCCTTACTATTAATCAAATATAGAACAACGCCGTATACCGATTTAATAGTAGCATTTAATCTTTCTAACTCCTTGATGAAATCAATTGAGATTGATAACCTCAACACAAGCGGTTTCGGTTTAACCAACAAAATTAATCCCTCTTAAGTTTATTAACCACTACCGTGCATTAATAAACCGAAGTTACTTACTTGTGAAACCATCAATGATTAACCATCGGTTCGTTGATCGTTTCTAGTAATAATTAATATATGAAACAAAACTAGTTGATCCTTTAAGTAATGTTCAAAATATTAATATGAAATAAGAGTAGGAATTAATTAATATTCAAGGAAAAATATTATTAAAGAAGATGAATCCTACTATAATTAATTTCAAGATGTTAACTAATTGTCATCTTAGCAACACTCCTCAATATTAATATAGAGGAAGAAAATACCATTCTAACTAATGTCGAGATATTAACTAATTGTCATCTTAGCAACACTCCCCAACATTAATATAGAGATGATATTAAGGAAAGAACTATTAATTAATATTCAAGGAAAGAAGTTAAGAAAATAACTCACAACTTTAATAATCAACAAGCTTCAAGAGCAACACCAAGAATGGAAGTTTAGCTCCTCATTTGGAGACTAAACATAGCTAGAAAAATATAAAGAAATGCTATTCTAAACTGAGCTAAAGAGTATGGAAGAAGGGATTATTTTTTGTGTAGAAAAAGTGTGCTATTTATAGGTGTTTTTCAACACCTTTGGCCGGGTACCCGACCGGGTATAGTACTTACCCGACCGGGTCCGGTCAAAATCAGATAATCCACCACGTTCTGGTGATCATCGCACGTCGTTTTGTCCCGGGTCACATCTGACCCGACCTGGTCAAGTAGGGGACCCGACCGGGTCCAGTGACTTTCTTGGCAATTTCGTCTGTTAAATCACACCCGACCGGGTGGGGGTTTCTACCCGGTCGGGTTTCACTCCTGGGCAGTCAAATTTCTTGTTTTCTTCTCTTCAAAGTCTTTCTTTCCGACACCACACATCCTAACTAAACTTTACAACTTACAAATAAAGACTAAAATACAATTACAACTGAAATCACATAAATGTTTACAAACTAAATAAAACGTCAAACAATTAACATAAATCAAACATAAAAACATGTAATTATGCACTACTAATTAGTGTGCATCAGGCCCCTACATCGTCACATGCATCATCAAACCAGGGACTTACAAACTCAAACGCCCCAATGGGACAGAGTTCCCTAGACATTGGAATGTACATCACCTAGTTAAATTTTATCAGTAATGTTAGAGCGGACAAGCCCTCACAACTAATGAATGTATTATCCTACGGCCCAAGGCCTTCAAATCCGAAGAATGAAGACACAAAAAACAAGAAACAAGACTCTTATGAGCGGCCAAGCCCTCATAAAAAACTCCCGGCCCAAGGCCTTATTACAAGCAAGACCCTTCGGCACCAAGTGCCGAGGGTAGACACCCCCACTACCTGCAACGAATGAAGAAAAACACCCTGTGTTTTTCAAGGAAGACCCCTCGACACCAAGTGCCTGGGGTACACACTCCTAACAAGTGTTTCCTGGGAAGACCCTTCGGTACCAAGTGCCGAGGGTGGACACCCCAATCACCTACGATAAGTAGAAAAAAACACCAAGTGTGTTTACAGAAGACCCCTCAGTACCAGATACCGGGGGCCGTTTACCGAAACAAACACCAAGTGTTGTTTCTAAAGCCGTACCCCTCGAGGACGCATTTATACCGAAGGCGCCACCTATCGGTGCCGGCAGCACGTAGTGCCCCCGACCATTTGCAACCAGTGTGCAAATGAAAACCCTTCCTTGAAACGCTTTCCGCGTCACTACCCCAAGGGTATGACATGCAAGTGACATGCCCATGATTCGACTTTCATAAACGGAACGCTTTCCGCGCCATTACCCCAAGGGAATGGCAGGCATCTAATATGCCCACGATTCGACTTCCAAAATGAAACGCTCCCCGCGCCCTGACCCCAAGGGTATGGCAGGCCATAGACTATGTCTCGCGCCGAGGGGACGACTTTCAAAACCGAGGCGCTTTCCGTGCCATCCCCCAAGGAGAGGCAGGCTACAGACTATGTCTTATGCCGAGGAAACGACCATCGATCCCCTCGGAACTCGGAAGGTTAACCCGAGGGGGAGCTAATGGTGTATGCTGTTACCTCCCGATAGTCCCAGCCTTACCAAGAAACCTAGTTTCTTGAAGCCTTCCCTTCACTACCCAAAAAAAGGGTGAAGGGGAGTAGACTCAACGAGAAATCAATGAGTACACAACTCCAACAATCCACAACGGGACACCCTTCGACAAACAACAACAGGGATCATTACATAACAGAAAGATTATACCGAAGGCTTCCCCAATGGAACACCTTCGGTACCTGAAAGCTAATAATCCCCGAAGGCTATCATCCAACAAATGTTGTCAAATATCGGTCAGGTCCACAACTGACGGCCTCCGACGTCATCCAATACCGAAGCCTTGATCCTATGATAAGGTGAAAATTTGCTAACTCCAGGCAACAACATTTCAAGGAATACCGAAGGCATCTACTCGGCCCTTACTACGATATAAATGTTCTACAGAATTTTCTAAATCCAAGCAGCAATTGCCCCCAGTATCTCATTAAGCACCGAAGGGAATGCTCCCAAGCATTGCCCGAAGGTGTCTCATGCCGGGGTTGGACTACAAAAGTCCTAAAGTCCACACTTTGGGATCTACCAAAAGCCGAAGGCTCCTCACATATCGCCGGAGGCCAGTGCTCACAGGTTAAGGGAAATTATTCTACAATCCTGAAGGCTCCCTTTACCGAAGGCCAGATGATATTCAAACACTTAGAAAATTTTCTAAGTCCCCCACTAATGGCCCTCGGCCAACTCACATTGCAACAAAGGCCACTCCACTTCATACCGCAAGAAGTGCCTGCTAACCGGAGGCTAGGCGGCTAATTCATACTTGGGAAATATTTTCTAAGTCCTAAATATTTGGCCCTCAGTCAAATCTTCCTGCAGCCAAAGGGGTCAAATGGGCGAAGGTGTGGTGATGAGCAACACTTAGAAGATTTTCTAAGTCCCAAAAGTTTTGCCCTCGGCCAACCCAAAACCTAGTCGGAGGCTCCTATCTAATACAAAATCAAAGGGAAGCTATCAGCCGAAGGCCAAGTGCATCGCTACACTTAGAAAAATTTCTAAGTCCTAAGTATTTGGCCCCCGGTCAAACCATGAGACAAACATACAAAGAAGCAAACACATTCATTCATAGGGCATAAAGGAAACGAAGGAAAGCAATCAAACAAGAGGCCCAAAGGCAGGCATTCATCCATTCAGAAATCATGAAGTAATATCGAGAGGTGTCGGATACATACAGGCCGAAGCCAAAAGCTATGAGATGTTCACATTACAAAGACAGTTTAAAATTAGACAAATACGGGTTACACATCAAACAACTTCGACGTCCTCTTCGGATGGCTTCGAGGAGATGTCCCCTCCGGTCTCTCCTTTGCCCTCGGCCTCCTTCATCAGTTCTGAATCCTCCAAGTCTGGCCTCTCAACATCTGGGGGAAGGGGCACGCGAACATCTGGCTGCAGGGGAGGAAGGCCGTATGCTGCCGGATCAAAGTCTTTAGGCTCCATTTTCAAGTGCCGGGCCATCCTCCGGTAGATGAGGGCCTGAGTAAAGAACTTGCCCCCATCGTAATATTCTTTGCCCTTTCGGGCCAACCACTCCACACTGGGGCCCTCACACCACTCATCAACGGACGCCTCCACAACCGAGGACAACCACTGCTTGCGTCCCTCAGCCTTCCACCCCTCCTCCAGATACCCGCAGATGGCACCCTCCCGCGCCTTGGCGACGGCCTCCGCCTTGGTGGCCTCGGCCTCCTCAGCGGCCTTCTTGATGGCCTCAGCAGCGGACCTCTCAGCTTCGGCCTTGCTCCGGTTAGCTGCCTCCAGTTGCAGCTCCATCTGCCGAAGGCTCTCCTCCAGCTGGGCCATCTGCTTTACGACATCAGAATTCTGATGGATGAGCAGCTTCATCTTCTCATCCTGCTCGGCCTTGTGAAGGCGCCACTCCTCTAACCTCCGGGACTGCTCGCCGAGGGCAATGCAGGCCTGCAAACCAACAATGAAAACAGTTAGAGCAACCATGAAAAGATAATCTAAGGAATAAAGGATGGGGGCAAAGGAAGAAGTACTTACAGTCAAGGAAGACCGGAGGATCTACTCTTCGAGGGCGTCATCGTCATAAGCGCCGAGGGCTGACCTATCCATCCCCGCAGACCGCAGTGATGCCCCTCAAAAACGCCTTCGGGTCGACCGTCTCCAGGGGGAGTCTCCCGATGGAGCTTCAACCGAAGCCGAGGCCGCCACAACCAGAGGCTCGGAAGTCGGCTGATCATCGACTATCAAGACCGGGGGAGCCTTCTTCCCGGTCTCCTGCTTCTTCGCCTTCTTGTCAAAGGGGGCAACGTCCTTGCTGGCTGCTTTCCTCTTGGCAGCACCGGCGACCTCATTAGCAGATAAAGTCGAGGGCCCAGAACCCCTCGGCAAGATTTCATCAACGGTCTTCTGGAGACCCGCCTCTTTCTTCTTCGGCTCTTTGGCAGATTTCTTCTTCAGCCCGACAAAGCCTTTCACATTCATCTTAGACACCGGAATACCTGCAAGGCAACACAGGAAAGTAAGGTCGAGGGGTCAAATATGAGAATCGGAATAACATCAAAAATGCAAAAATTCCTAAGTACAAAATGCGAGGCCCTCGGAAGCTACCTCCTGTTTCCTCGAAGGCGCTGTCCAGGAGGGGTTACTTCTCATCTGTTTCCCCCAGGAAATGATACCGCCGGAAGCCGATGGCGTATAGATCACTCTCCAGGGTACATTCTTTGATGGTTACGTTCTTGTTCCGCCCCTCCGGGATCTTGGCGAGTACAAGGCCGTCTTTCTCGAGGGCGGCACTTCTTGTCTTCTCATGGCGCCTAAAACGGTCCCGCAACTCCCTCAGGAAAGGGTTCTCGTCTAGCCTGACGTAGCACCACCGCTCCTTCCAGCCTTTGTTTGTGGAGGGCGCCTCGGTGAACAGCCTGAACTGAGTGATCTGCTGCAAATTGGCGAACCCCTCAGCGTTTGCATGGCCTCCCCGGCAAAGGTTGAAGCTTTGGAAGAACACATCCAAGCTAGGTGTCACCCCTCGGGATTTGCAGAGGTGAAGAAACCCAGTGATATACGAATGGCTGTTGGGCGTTAGTTGGCAAGGGACCAGGCCTACATACCTAAGATATTCCTGAAGGAACGGGTGCAGCGGAAACCGAAGGCCCATGGACACCGATAGAATGTGAACAATAATACATCCCTCGGGGGCACGAGAGAGAACGTCATCAGGTCCCGGTGGCACCACAGTAGCCGAGGGCCCAACATGCAGTTGGGTAACATAGCATTCCGCCTTGTCAGCCTTCGACTTTATCTCGAGGGCGGTGGTGTTCAGAAAGGAGTAGCCTTCGGGCATGTCAACCAGTTTCCCTAGGTCGGCGACGCTCCCCTTCTTTTTGGGCGCTCCGGCTTTCGTCTTCTTCTTCTTTCTGGGGGCCACTCTTAGAGGCGTCGGGTTCAGCGGCCTGGAGCTGCCTGCCTCACCAGCATTCCGAGGGGGGAGGACAACGACTATAACCTTCATCATCTCCTTAAGTGCTTCCTCCTCTGCCACTTGGTAGGCAAGGGCCAGCTCCTCGTCCTCGATCACTTGTTCGAAGTCTTCGGCCTCTAGTTCGAGTCAAAGGTTGTCTTGTATCTTCTCGGCTACTGCCCGGTCGTTATTTTCCGAAAGGTGTTCGCTCGAAGACTCCACCTCAGACACGACCTCAACGTCCACCGATGCCTCCCTCGATATGTTTTGAGAATCGCTTTGCAAAGACATCCTCGAGAACTAGGGGATGAGGGGTTCTAGAAATCGAAGGCTCCCTAAACAACTCTAGCACTTAGCCTAAGGGCGAAAATACGCTAAGGAACTCGAGAACAGGAGGAGCAACTGACCTTGGGAAGTGAGGTTTTGAGCGAAGGGTTGTTTCTCTCTATAGAAAAAATCCGGCAGGGATTCGCTAGCAATGAATCACATAAGGGGAAAGGCTCAAGCCTTGGGGTATTTATAGGCACCCAAATCCGGGCTTGGGCCAAAAATCGGGCCTCCGATTGCAAAAATCATCATTACAAACCGACGATTAAGCCAATCGGTGACGCCCGCCCGCAGTCAGCCAACGGATGCACGCCACATGGACATCACCTCCAACGGCCATATTCCGACGATCCATATTCCAACGGTCATATTACAACGGCTATATTTTGAAAACACAGGGGTGCCCCCAGCCGGAACCCCTCAGAAAACACCATTCATGCCTCCGGGTTTTCTCCTTCAGACTCCTTTTACCAAGAGGGGCTCCCGACTCATCAACGGGCAAACCCCTCGGGAACCCTCAGCCCTCAACACATTGAAGGCCAGGAAAACCCGGGGGGAGCACACCTTCATCAACTGTCGGCCCTCGGCCACGCAATAAGGAGACCCCTCGGGGACATCAAATTTAAAACCCCTCTCAGGTGGATAGCCTTCGACATACAACAACGGGACCCCTTGGGTGCCTTCATCCCCAGCTAGAGAATCCCCCCGGCAACACAACAACTACCACTTACATTCATCACGCCCTCAATCCCATGGATTGAGGGACTCCCCTTCGGCATCTACCCGGAATATTAACAAAGCGCCTTCGGCAAATCAACGCACACGCCCTCAGACAAGGATAGCCCTCGGCAACAGTACTGTCATCCATTTCGGACCAAGGTTTCACCCTTTCGATTCATCTTTGGGGGAATTCGGTGCACTCTTTTTCCCTCATTAGAATTTTTTCCCACAGAGTTTTTTCTGATGAGGTTTTTAATGAGGCATCTCCCCAAAATGAAATGAAAAGCATCAGCCTTCGGCAACATGCTAGCAGTAGGCACTACTCTACTCCTCTTCACCACATTACATGTGCCTCAAGGAGCGGGGGACTGGAGAACCCCTTCGGGAAAAATCACAAAAATGCAATGCAAAATGTCAAAAATCTTCCCAAAGCAGCAACATAATCCTTCAAGTCCCAAAATGTGGGGGACTGAAGGACTGCCCCCGGCAGAATCGTGTGCAAACACAAATCTCTCACAGGTTTACAAACTACAGCAAGGCAGCATAAGAGGACAATTGCAATTACTCCTTTTCCCTCAAGTACCTTTCGACAAAAGGAGCGAGGGACTCCTGATGGAGTATATGGCCCAGGAACCCCCGACCCACAGACTCCAACTACTATAGCAGAGGCCCAATAGGCCCAGGAAGCACAGCAGGCCCAAGTCAAAGCGCCCCAAGTGCCAAACAGCCCACGACGAACACTGGGGTGCCTTCGGCCCCCTGGTGAAGGCTCATGAACCTACAGTACAGCTGCTTTTGAGCACTCAAAGTGTCTGGGAGAAAGCGGTGAAAACAGTAGCCCTCGGTATCTAGAGCCCTCGGCACTTAGAGGCCCTCGGGATGAAGAGCCTTCGGCCAATCATCTACGGCCGAAGGCATCTCCTCGACATAATCTCTCACCCACATACGCTGGATCAACGTACCGAGTACAAACGTCACATCCAACCACCACATTTAATGTGGCCACATGCGAGTACCAGTGCCACCCCATTGAGGTGACCCCTCGACCACCAGAATGATGACACATGTCCCTATCTGGCATTTATTGCTGCTATAAATAGCACCCCTTTTCCCATTTGTAAACCACGCTCAACACGTTGAGTTCACTTAATACATTCGACTCTCTCTCTCTCTTACTACTTTTGCTCTGACTTCTCTCTAGTTACTCCCCACAGTAACCCCTCGGATAGATACCCCCCGGGTACACTCATCCATCAACTATATATGAGAAAATTGTGCAAAATAGGACCAAATCATACAAAGTTTACATTATTAGGACCTACTTAGTTTTTTTCCATCCGTATGCTCTATTTAGTTCTAGTTTTAGGAACCTTATATTTTTTCCCCGTTTCTACCCTTCACCCTTGCTTCGACTTCGCAGGCCTCCACCTTCGACCACAACTTCTCTCCCTGCGATGGAACACATGCCTCCACCTTCGACCGCAGATGCCCTCCCACTCAACGCCTCGCCTTGCCGTCCAGATCTCCGCCTCACCTCACCGTCCAGATCTCTGCCTTGCCTCACCATCCAAGTCGCGGTTCAACTTCACCGTCACAGTCGTACTCGAGCAGATCACACTTGGATTTGAATAGATTATTTTATCAGAATTTATTGTTTATTTATTGTCTACTTATTGTCTATTTATTGTCTATTTAATGTCTGATATTTCCTAAAGGTAAGGGTATTGTGGTCAATGCAGGTGTAGTTGAGTCTTACGCGAATCTTCAGTCTTAGTTTTGGAAAATCCGTACGTTTTGCTCCTATTTGTTGAATTCTCCCGACTATATATACTATCAAATACTCCGTAGTTACTAATTTGCTGGTCATTAATTTGGTAAGAATTATTAATAACTAATGGAGGAAATATCAATCATAACATGCATACCATATTGAAAGAGCATCTTTCATTTTACCATATTTACGGTACATGCGAATGTGTGATTAATGGAGCTACTATGATATATATGTGTGAGTCGTGTGACTAATTTTCACAACCTCAATAATCATAGGTCTAATTTTCTTTTTATATAACAAATTTGACATTAATTCCCTATTATGACCCTAATTTGGGCGGGATTTTTCCCTTCATTTGTCGTACAGACTCTGTTACTTTATATTATATAAACATTATATATTTGATAAAGATTAAAAAATAAAGTTAAAAATTCTTTTGGAGAGAGATTTTTTATTTTTCGGTATATTTGATTAAGTTTTTCATATTCTCTTTCTTAATTTGTTTAGGTTACAACGTATTATTCAATTCTAGAAAAATTTAATAAGTTACGTAGTACAACGTAATATGGTCAGGAATTATATGCTCCATATTATTTCGTAATCGGGAATTTTATGGAATAGTACATTGCATATTTACACTTTATTTTGATTTTTAGTTTGTTTTATACACTTTTTATGTATAGCATGATTCCTTCCCATGTATACTACTACGTACTATATACTCTATGATTTTGGAGTGCCTATACCGTACGACCGGTATACGGTGAGCACCGTATACCGGGTACGGATTTATATTTTTTTTCCTTTTGTTTTTTAAAAATGGTAATAACTTTTTTATTTTTGATCCGATTTTTATAAAATTTATATCAACATTTTTTATTTTTCATGATCTTTCAAATGAGACCAATATTGCTTATGTAATTTTAACATATTAACATTTGCGTGTAAAATATGTAACTTTACGTGTTAAAATATGTAACTCACGTTCAGTCAGGCCAAATGCAACTCGTGTGTATAAATATGTATCTCTACGTGTAACACTATGTAACTTTACGTAAAAAAATATGTAACTCGCGTTCAGACAGGTCAAATGCAACTCGTGTGTATAAATATGTAACTCGCGTGTATAAATATGTAACTTTACGTGTAAAAATATGTAACTTTACGTGTAAATATATGTAAGTCGCGTTCAGGCATGTCAAATGCAACTCATGTTTATATATATGTAACCCGCTTTTAAAAAGATGTAACTTGCTTATAAAAAGATGTAACTTGCTTATAAAAAGATGTAACTTGCTTATAAAAAGATGTAATTCGCTCATAAAAAGATGTAACTCATTGTATTATCAAATGTAACTGAGGCCACTGATCCACTCCCAAACAGATTCGATCTTCTATTTCACAAACCTATCATCTCCCAAACAGATTCGATTTTCCTTATAATCCAATACTCATTAATATAATAGTTCGATAATTTCTTAAAATTACATTAGCAATATTGGTCTCATTTGAAAGATCATGAAAAATAAAAAATGTTGATATAAATTTTATAAAAATCGGATCAAAAATAAAAAAGTTATTATCATTTTTAACAACAAAAGCAAAAAAAAAAGGGGGGGGGGGGGGGGGGGGGGGGGGCAATAAATGTTAAATGTGCTATGATTTGACATGATTTTGTGGGCAATAAATGTTAAATGTGAAATTTAATTCCTTCACATACATGTATACTACTATATATATTCAATGATTTTCTTTCCATATAAAAACTATACGTGTATAGGTAATATACTCTTTGATTAATTTCTTCGCATTGTAACCTAAATTTGGGCGGGAATTTTCTCTCCAATTGTGGTGCAAAAACTGTTACTACCTTCGTTCCCATTTTAATTTCCAAATGGGTTTGGCAGAAAGTTTAAGATAGTGGATATTGTGTGGTGGAGAGTTGTGCAGAGGAGAGATAAATGTGTAAGAAATGTTGTGAACCACAAATTCTTTACCAAAAAGAGAAAGTGAAAGTTTTAATTGGAACGGACGAAAAAGAAAAGTTGGAAGTTTATTTAGGAACGGAGGGAGTACTTTATATTATATAAAGATTACCAGTGTTGTTGAATTGAACAACTTGAATTGAAGCATTGTCAGAGATATTTTCATCGGTTGAACGAGTATTTAGAGCTCAAATATCAAACGAGCAACATTTGCAGACAGAAGATTCTGTTGAGATGATTCATGAAGTTTTTGCAGTCGCATCTCTTTGGCAGACAAAAGAGATTCAACTTCAGACAAAGTTGGAGGATCGAGAATACTACGAGAGGATATTGATGAGGCCAGAGATTCATATTCTTCATGTAAGCCTTCGAGGATCACATTAATATGATCCTTAGGGGATATTGGTTCTCCAATTGACAAAAGATTGTCAGCAATTGTTTGAATGCGAACGAGATATTCAGAGATGGAACGATCACCTTTCGCAATGTTGTATAGCTCGGATTTTAATTGTCTGGCTTTTGCGAGGATGCTTGATTGGAAGAAGGTGTTGATCGCACTCCATAGCTCATATGAATGTTTGGAATGGATAACACGAGCGTGAAGTAGTTCTGATAGCGACACAAGTAACCACCAGAACATCATTTGATATTGTTGCTCCGAGACAACATACGCTTTGTTCATCATTCCTGTTGCTTCGTCTTCGTTGGAGATGAATTGCTTTGGAATTTATGGTTTGAAAATGAACCGAAGGAGTTTGTGTGCTCGAACAATAGATTCTACATGATGTTTCCAGAAGATAAAGTTGTTAACATCAAGCTTAAGTGGAAGTGGATGTGCGAATGTTACTAGAGATGTGGAATTTGTGGAAGTTGCAGTAGCAGAGGAAGAGTTCGATGTGGTATCTGTGATCGCCATTGATGGATCGAGCTAGAGCTCTGATACCATATTAGAAAGAGAGAGAAAGAGACAAGTATTGAATGTTAACATAAAATATCTCATTCATATCAACTGTATTAGAATACAAGTATTTATAGAGTTAATTGTTCTAACAGACTTAACAACCAACGAGGCAGAATTAAGCAGTATGATGTATGCTATTCTAATACAAGACTTTTAGTCTATTACAAGATGTATATCTAACCGTATATTTTTAGCACTATATGTAAAATTTGAAAACAATTATTATCAATGATCATTATTCTGTCAATTTTCCCATTATCCTTAACAATAATTATTAAGTCATTTTTTCCATTACCATTATTTTGATCATAAATATATGTCTCCTAATTTAATCTATGGAGCCTCATTATTTTGGTCAATTACACTACTGTGTCTCCTAATTAATTAGGTTCCCTGTTTAACTTTTGAGCCAAATTTTGTAAACTTTGATCCAAGTTATTCAGAATTCACATTGCTTTATCATACAAAATTAAGTTTATATACTTCATTTGAATATACATCATTCAAATTTTAATTTATTATAAATAATATATATATACCATCAATCTGGCAATTTAATTACCGGACGAGGTAGTAATTAAGTGGCTAAGTTCTACCATCAATCAATCTTTATAATCTTATTTAAGAAAAGAATGAAAGTTCTTTTGTAGAATTAGGATGTTGTAATGGCGTTGTCTTCAAAAAAAGTTGTGGATAAAAGTAAGAGTATTTTGGATAGCATGTGCGATCATATGGTGGTTGGCCCTTTTCTTCCAGCCCCACAACCAAAATCTCCTTTTCCTTGAATTGAAGGATACACCTCCATCGCCGGCCATCTGGATGGTGTTCCTTACACGTATTTAATTTTATTTGTGTATATATAAAACTTATTATTCAACCTTGTTATTATGAATGTTTCAAAAAGTTTATGACGCAATTGAAAACTATTAAGATTATTCAATCTTACGATTATGAATGTTTTTATGTGAAGTAGGTCGAAAAAGTTCACATGGTGTATGTTCTTGAACAAGCAAACGCATTAAGTAATTGCATATGTGACTAGATGGATATGGTTGTATGCAAGCAGGGGCGGAGACAGAGCACTAGGCCGGACTAGACCGGTACAAAGAATATTTTTAGAAAAAAATTTACACAAAATTTTTTAGATTAAAAAATAAGACATTTTTAAAATTTGGGGTGGACCATGGCCTAAGTTGGCCCACCCGTAGCTCTGCCCATGCATGTATGCAAGGTCACAAAGTATTGTACAATTTATTATATACTACCTCTGTCCCAATTTACTTAGTTATCTTTGACTTTTCCGGTCAAAGGTGGTAAACTTTGACCAATTATTTAAACTAATATATTTATGCAAAATTTAATAATTTTATACTTTTATGATAGTATTTTTAACAAAGAACATTTTCATATCATTTTCATATTATTAATATTTTCTCTATATAAACATATAATTGGTCAAAGTTAGACGTCATTGACTTGAAAATTCATGTTTGGCTAAGTAAAATGGAACGGAAGGAGTATATTGAATAAAATTCCATGTACACAACATTTGTTTATATTTTACGTACTACTTTAACATAAAATACAAAACCGGAGAAGGCCTACGGCCGAGATTTTCCCGAATTTGAAATAGAAATATATCGTTATCGTTAAGGGGGCGGATTCTTAAAAATTTTATATTGCAAAGGCCAAAATTTAAAATATCAACATATTTTCTACAGATTAAAAGTATTTATACATAACACTCCTTCGGTTCTTAATTAAGTTTACACTTTCCTTTTTGGATCGTCTCAAATTAAAATTTACACTTCCTTATTTGCATTTTCCTTATTTGGAAAACAAATCTACACAAAATAGTTCAAAACAATGCCAAACAGTGTCAAACAATGCACTTTACAGTAAAGTCAAATTTATTTCCTTAATATGCGTGAAGTCAAAGTGTAAGTGATGGAGTATATGGCCCGGGAACACCCGGCCCACAGACTCCTACTACTCCTTTAGAGGCCCAACAGGCCCAGAAGGTCCAACAGGCCCAAATCACAGCGCCCAGAGTACCAAGCAGCCCACACTACGCGCCAGGGGGGCCTTCGGCCCCCTGGCCGAAGGCTCTAAACTCTCGCAGAACGGGTTTCTCAAGCAAATTAAGAAACTGGGAGAAAACGGCGAAAACAATAGCCCTCGACACTGTGAGCCCTCGGCACCAGGGTGCCATCGGTTGGAGGAGCCCTCGGCTACTGCTCTATGGCCGAAGGCATCTCACTCGACAAGATATCCGCCTCACATGCGTACAGATCACCGTACCCTGCACAGACGTCCCATCCAACAGCCGCATTAAATGCGGCCACATGCGGCTGCCAGCGCCAACCAGTTGAGGTGACCCCTCGGCCAATGAGCGCTTGACACGTGTCCCTGCCCGGCATTTATTGCTACTATAAATAGCACCCCATTTCCCTATTTGTAACCACGCTGAAAACGGCATTCATACTGAATACACTCTCTCTCTACATTTACTTACTTGCTCTGACTTCTCTCTAAGTTATTCCCCGTAATAACCCTTCGGATATATACCCCGGGTAGACTATCCATCATTTGGTGCTCTCGTTGAGAGGTCGAACGATCAAGTAAGAAACCCTCCCCCTCGATCAAACGCAAAACACTAGCCCTCCATCAAAATGGTGAGGACAACACGTGCCAACTCAAAAAACGTAGAAGACAAGAACCTGGCCCTCGGCGACGTCAACGCCCTCGAAGCCTCTCACAGGGCTCCCGAGGGCGGTGTCATCGCTGGGCTGGAACAGGCGGCTGTCGACCTACGCCTTCAGATCCAACAAAATGCCCCCGATGCCCGCCTCGGCATCGAGGCCAAGAAGAAAAACCGGAGCGATGACCAAGTCAGCCCTCCGGTTCTCACCATCGACGTGCAATCGGCGCTCTCCGCCTTCATCCAGACGCTCACTCAGAACCCGGGTGCCTTCGGCACCCTGGCTCCGGCTCACCCCCAGATCGGGGAAAATATCATACTTCCCCCTCTGCCACACCCCTTCGGAAATCCCACCCCTCGGGTGAGAAACGACGAAGGGGTGGTGGCCCAAGATACGTCCTCCCAGGAAGTTCAGTCCCGGGACCGCCATAATGACAACAGGGAAAGGCCCCGTACTTCCGCCCTCAACCGGCTCGGAGGAGGGCCAGACCGCCGAGGGGTCCAAGACCGCCTCGGGGGGAAAGCACTCCAAAGGCCCCAGGAAAGCGGGGGATCTGTTTCGAGGGCAGAAGAGGAGCGTCCCCCTCGGGACAAAGGCAAGGCGCCCCTTCATGCCGATGACGCTCGCCACCAGATCAACCAGGCCCACTCGGCCCGAGTTCGTTCGCAGGGGGCGGAGACCCTCCCGAAGGATCCCCAGGACGAGATTATTGCGGCCCTCCAACGCCGGCTTGACGAGATGGAGTCCAACAAAGCTCACGCCACCACCTCCACCCCTCATTCAGATCTCAAATACGAGGCCATGATGGCCAAAATGGAGGAGTTACAGAAGAAGGTGGCCGAGGGCTCCGTAGAACCCGTTATCCAGCTCCGGACTCGGACGCCATTTACCCCAAGGGTATTGGCGGCCCGGATCCCGGAGAAATACCGAGGGCAACACATACAGCCCTACAACGGGAAGACGGACCCCCAGGAACATTACAGCAAATACCAGAACAGCATGATGATGGTAGGAGCGTCAGACGAATATTTGTGTCGTTGGTTCCTCTCCACCTTAGAGGGACCGGCATACGAATGGTTCAACAGGCTGCCCGAGGGCTGCATTGATTCGTGGCAAGAACTCGCCCAACGATTCTTGACACAATTTGCCGGGAGGCGTCGCACAAGGAAGCACTTCTCCCACCTCCTAACAATACGCCAGAAGAAGGATGAGACCCTTCGGGATTTCCTGGAGCGCTGGAGGACGGAGGCCGACAAGGTCGACGGTGCTGATGACGGGACCCTCCTGGCCCTCCTACAAACCGTCCTCCGCACCGGCAACTTTTCAAGGAGCCTCATCATTGACCCCCCCCCCCCCCCGCGACTACATAAGGGCTTTGCAGCGGGGGGACCGATATGCTGAAGCCGAGGAGGTGGAGAAGTATCACCAGCATCCGGACCAGCAGCCCCCGAGGGCTGACAACAAGCATAACCGAGGGCCGGGGGCTCCTCCAAATCACCCCAAGACTTCGGGACCCTCTGATGACCGCCCTCGGCAAGGCCAAGCCAAGCCCGGGGGAGGTTATAAGAGCAACCCCAAGACTTGGGCACAGCCCATTCTCCTGGACCGCCCTCGGACACCATTGACGCACCCCGTCAGCATCATCCTCGATTTTGCCGAGGAGAGGGGCCTCGTTGAGCGTGATTCTCGCGCACCCCCGGAGGTACACGCTATCAACCCTCAGTTCCCCTACTGTCGCTTCCATCGGCACCAGGGGCACAGGACCGATGACTGCCATCAACTAAAGACAGCCATCGAGAGGTTAATACAAGCGGGGCACCTGTCCCAATTTGTTCAGAGCCCTCGGCAGGAGGGACCTTCTCATCAGGGGCCTCCCCGAGGGCACCACACGAAGGTGAACGCTTGGGTAAACCCGAATACCATCCCCCTCGGCAAGAAGAGGGAGATTGGGAACTTGGAAGAAGAGGAGGAGGAATACCCCCACTACCAGGAGAAAAAACGCCACATCCTCATGATCACCGGTGGCAATACAGGGGGCGATTCCACCAGCCAGCGAAAGAAGTGGGCTCAATCGCTTTACGTAGGGGAAGTCACTCATATGCCCCCGGTAAAGCGACTGAGGGAGGAACCCATCACCTTCACCAACGCAGATCTCCCTCCTACTTCTTCTCCTCACAGGGATGCCTTGGTGATTCGGACGGAGATAAACGACACCATTATTCACCGAACTTACATTGACACGGGCAGCTCCGTCAATGTAATGTACCTCAGCACCTTCAGAGAGCTGCATCTGGAGAGGGGGTCCCTTCGGCCCATTAAGACCCCTCTTG